AACCTTTGAGACATTGCGACATTACCATATTAAGTTGAGCCCAAAGAAATGCATATTTAGGGTTACCTCAGGTAAGTTCTTGGGGTACGTGGTGGATCAAAGGGGAATAGAAGCTAATCCATACAAAGTCCAAGCAGTGTTGGACATGAGATCACCAAAGAGCGTCAAAGAGGTCCAGCGTCTTACGGGTTGTCTTGCGACTTTGAGACATTTTTTGTCCAAGTCTGGGGATAGGTGTCAAGAGAAGTTGCTGGACAGTTGGACTTTGTATGTTGATGGGTCCTCAACACAAAATGGTTGTGGAGTTGGGAATCTATTACGTTCACCCGAGGGTGACACCTATGAAAATGCCATGAAGTTTAAGTTCCAGACTTCCAACAATGAGGTGGAATATGAGTCTTTGGTGGCTGGTATACGAATGTGTAGGGCAGCAATTGCCCACGAATGTGTAGGGCAGCAATTGCCCGAAAATTTGAGGCTATGTCTAACTCTCAACTCATAGTTAGCCAAGTGAATGTTGAGTATGAGACGAGAGACAAAATTATGATCAAGTATCTGAAGACAATGAGGAATAAAGTGGGGGGTTTTGTTAAGTCCTCTTAATTGGTGTTTTGAGTGATGAAAAACTCCTCATTGAATTATCTTATTATTGTTGTATGTTGTTCTGTGCTATCTTAACACAGGTTTGACAAAGATGATTCAATGGAAGCAAGACAAAGAATTATTCAAGAATTGAAGCAAGTTGAAGTCTTGAAGAATTGCATGAAGATTCTGTATAAAGTGTAATAGCTTTAGGTCTTTATGTAAAAAAAAAGTAAAACGGTTGTGTTTAACTTATAAAGGTACAAAAGAGAGAAAAGAGATAGTTGTCGATGATAAGGAATCTTGATTCCTTAGCATATACAACTATGAAAAACACTGCATGACTGGAACTAGTGTGGGAACATAATAGAACCAATCTGCAAGTTTTTTTTCATCGAAACAGCATATCTTAGGAAAGTTTTCTTTTTCGAAGAAAAACATTTTGAAAATATTAAAGCAGTATACTCGATTGAAGTTGAGATCTTTAAATAGGGAATATATCAAAATAATATCCCAACTGACTTTATTTGATTATCAAATAAAATCAAAACAATATACTTTCCGTATGTAAGGAAAATATAATGCTAGGATATTATTCTCAATATATTTCCAAGGCTTATTTAAAGAGATCAATGACAACCGAGATGGCAGAGCTTTTGCGATTAAAATTTTGAAAAATACTTTGAAAAAGTTGGTCTCTCTCTCTCTCTCTCTCTCTCTCTCTCTCGAGTATCTGAGCATAAACCCTAATACTACTATGAGATTAAAATACTCTCAACTTAAGCATTTAGGCTGATTTTACGAGAGAAAAGGGTATTGTATTGAACTACTTGATTCTGTCAAGCAGTTGGGGGAGTATTTTAGGGAAGCACTTCATTAAACTACTAGAGTTAGTAGTTGAGGAGCAACTATAGGTAGTTGCTGGGGAATTGCTTATTGCATAGGTGCATAAAGTAGTTGAGTGTAAGCTCTTTATTCTTCTGAGTTAATTAATAAAAGAGGTTAGAGTGAGTGGAGGAAGTAGACTTATTAGAAGTAGAACCTCGTCAAATTGCTTGTGTTCTTATTTATTCTGATGCGTACAGAACAGTTCTCTTACTGTTCTCTCAATCAAAAAAGAAAAGTTTACAACACTTGCAGAATACTTAATTCACCCCCCTTCTTGAGTATTTCTTGCACTTTCAATTGGTATCAGAGCCTTACTTCTTTAATGGGTAACACCTAGATAAGGAAGAAGGGATGACAACTCAAGAAATGACAAACGGATCTGGTGGATCAAGATTGCCCAAATTCAATGGAACTAACTATCCTTGGTGGAAGAATTGCATGAAGAATCTCATCATTGGGACTGACTATGAGTGTTGGGTGGTAAAAAAAACTCGGTCATTCGATTATCCTGTCAATTCTGATGGAACCCCAAAAAAGGAAAGCGAGTATACAAGCATTTACTACAAGAAGCTTGAAAAGAATGCTAAGGCAAAGTTTATTGTGCAACAAGGTATTGCTAACAATGAGGTAAGTCATATTATGGCATGTTCTACTGCAAAACAAATATGGGATGCCTTAGTTGGCTTATGAAGGAGCTAGTGAAGTTAGAAGATCTAAGATCGATATTTTAATGTCAAAATATGAAACTTTTGATATGACTAGAGATGATAATATAAGAGAAATGTTTACTCGTTTTATGTCTATTATCAATGAACTTAAATCACTTGGAAAGATCTTTACTAATGAAGAGTTGGTGAGGAAAATTCTGAGAAGTTTGATAGGGAAGTGGTTGCCTAAGTTAACTGTTATTCAAGAAGGTAAGGACTTAACTACCTTGTACTTAGAACAACCGATTGGTTCGTTGATGACACATGAGATGCTGGTGGATTCCAAGGAGGAGACTACTACCAAGAGTAGAGGATTAGCCTTGAAAGCTGATGATTTTGAGGATGATGTTGATGATATTGGACTCATGGCCAAAAGGTTTGAAAAGCACCTCAGAGCACAAGCAAAAGGCACATCATGGAAAGGTAAGGGCAGTTTCGGATTTACCAGAAAGACCAGTTCCAGCACTGGTTGTTTCAAGTGTGGAGATACTGGACATACAATCAAAGAGTGTCCAGCCTAGAGAAATGAGAAGGGAGGTCAGAATGAGAAGAAGATGGTAAAAAGAGATGTACTTGCTACATGGGGAGACTCTGACTCAGAGGAAGAGAGTAATGAAGAAGATGCCTAGCTATGTTTAACTGCATTTCTTGGTGGAGAAGTAGACCAGAAGAAGACCAATTCGAGGATCGAGACAAACATATGTCTCATGGCAGGAAGCAGTTCATCAGAGGATAGTCAGGTAAATCTTAGTGATATGAAAGAACATATGCAATCTTTTGATAGAGAAGAGTTACTTGATTGTCTAGAATTTGTTATAGATCAATGTATTAGTGGCGGTGTTGCCTATAAAGTAAACAGTAGGAAATTAATAGAAGCAAACATAAATTTAGAAATGAGTGAGGCTTGATCTGCTGAATTGGAAATTATTTGTACAGAATTAAAAGAGAAAATTTCAGAACTTGAAATAAGTTTGGATCAAAAGAACATAGAACCAGCAAAGGTACAAAAGAGAGAAAAGAGATAATTGTGGTTGATAAGGAATCTTGATTCCTTAGCATATACAACTATGAAAAACACTGCATGACTGGAACCAGTATGGGAACATAATAGAACCATTCTACAAGTGTTTTTCATCGAAGCAGCTTATTTTAGGAATATTTTCTTTTTTGAAGAAAAATGTTTTGAAAATATTAAAGCTGTATATTCGATTGAACTTGAGATCTTTAAATAGGGAATATATCAGAATAATAGCCCAACTAATTTCATTTGATTATCAAATAAAATAAGAGTAATAAATTTTCCATATGTAAGGAAAATATAATGCTAGGATATTATTCTCAATATATTTCCAAGGCTTATTTAAAGAGATCAATGACAATCGAGATGGCAGAGCTTTTACGATTAAAATTTTGAAAAATACTTTGAAAAAGCTGGTCTCTCTCCCTCTCTCGAGTACCTGAGCATAAAATCTAATACTACTGTGAGATTCAAATACTCTCAACTTAAGCATTTAGGTTGATTTTATTAGAGAAAAGGGTATTGTATTGAACTGCTTGATTCTGTCAAGCAATTAGGGGAATGTTTTAGGGAAGCACTTCATTGAACTGCTAGAGTTAGTAGTTGAGGAGCGGCTATAGGTAGTTGCTAGGGAATTGCTTATTACATAGGTGCATAAAGTAGTTGAGTGTAATCTCTTTATTCTTCTGAGTTGATTAGTAAAAGAGGTTATAGTGAGTGGTGGATGTAGACTTATTAGAAGTCGAACCTCATTAAATTGCTTGTGTTCTTATTTATTCCGTTGCATACAGAACAGTTCTCTTACTGTTCTCTCAATCAAAAATGAAAAGTTTACAACACTTGCCGAATACTCAATTCACCCCCTCTCTTGAGTATCTTTTGCACTTTCTGGTTTGGATGAATTCTTTCTCATACAATCGGTCGAAGAACAACCAAGGAAATGCTCTTTCAAATTTGGACAGCACTGCTACCGGTGACTCACCGAGGTCTGTCTTCTAGGAAGTGAATGATAAGAGAAGCATTGATGAGTTAGAAGACACTAATTTCATAAATCGAGGAGCTCGTGGATGGACGAGGTTATGCAATACAAGATCGATTGAACTTTACCCAGTGATCCTCAGAGAGCTAAATATGTCAAGAGACAGGATGCATGGTTTGTTTTTTGGAAGGATCAACTTTATAAGAAGTCGTTCTCTCATTCGCTGTTGAAATATGTGACCCTAGAGAAGGGTGCTGAGATCCTGGAGGACATACATGAAGGCTTCTGTGGGTCACACATTGAGGCTAGAGCGCTAGCTGAAAAGGCGTTGATAACATGGTACTATTGGCCCAGCCTAAGACAAGATGCCATGAAGTTAGTAAGGAAATGTAGGAAGTATCAAATTCATGGGGACATACACAGAAGGCCAGCTGTGGATTTTTCCACAGTTCTCTTACCAATCCCATTTGCTAAATGGGGAATGGACATTTTGGGTCCTTTTCCCCATGCTCCGAGGCAGAAGAAGTATGTCTTGGTGGCTGTGGATTATTTCACAAAGTGGGTTGAGGCTGAGCCTATGAGGGGATTGAAGACATCTGATGTTGAAGGTTCTATTTGGAAAAATATAATTACTCGATTTGGAGTCCCTCAGTCAATTGTATTTGACAATGGTCCTCAATTTGACACTAATGTGCTAACAAATTGGTTAGCTCGTCAAGGCATTACTGGTCATTTTGCCTCGGTTTCACACCCTCAAGCCAATGGCCAAGTGGAAGCGTTCAACTAGATCATATCAAATGGGATAAAGAAAAAGTTTGACAACCCGATGGGTCTTTGGTTTGAAGAGCTATATACTGTCCTTTGGTCTATCAGGACCACTACTAAGAATTTAACGGGAGAATCACCTTTCATGCTAGTATACGGAGCTGAAGCGGTTCTTCCAATTGATATATGTGAGCCCACCTAGTGCGTGATGAAGTATGACGAAGAAGCTAATTAGGAGGCCATAAGCATAACCTGGATCTACTTCCTGAAGTGACGGGTGATGCTCTGCTTAGACAACAGGTCTACAAGTTGAGGATTGCCAGAGAGTACAATAAAAGAGTTGTGGCTAGACCCTTGAATTTGGGTGATCTAGTATTGAGGAAAATGGAGGCACAGGGTCGTGCGAAGGAATAAGGCAAACTTACCCCTAATTGGGAGGGTCCATATTGGATCTGCGAGGTCTTAAAAGATGGAACATTCAAGCTTGAAGCAGCTGATGGGAGGAGGCTGCCTAGGACTTGGAATGTAGATAATTTGATGAAATATTACATGTAAGGCCGTGTGCCCAATAGAATGACACTGTCATTCTTCAGTTGATACTCCACTAATATATACATATATTACCAATTTAAAATATCTGAAAGTCCAAATTCTACAAGTAATAACTTTGATTGGGATAAATTTTGGGAAGAGCAATTACTTGATGAATCACATGAAGAAATTGGGCGATACATAATCTCACAATATGAAACACCCCCGTGAGAGTTTGTTCATCGTGATCGTGAAGGTGGTGCAGAACGTCTATACAAAGATTATTTTTCTGAACAACCAGTATATCCGGAACATTTTTTTTGAAGACGGTTTCGTATGAGGAGAGAGGTCTTCAATTGAATAGTGGAGGCCTTAAAAAATCACATTGAATATTTTCAACAAAGGTTTGATGTTGCAAAAAGAATGGGTTTGTCTCCTCTTCAATAATGTACTGGTGCTATTCGCATATTAGCTTATGGAACTCCAGTCGTTGCTCTTGATGAGTACATCAAGATTGGTGAGAGCACGACTATGGAGTGTCTATTTAAATTTTGTCGTGGTGTTATTGAAATATTTGGAAAGGTGTACATGAGAGGTCCCAATGCTAATGATGACCAACGATTGCTTAAAATGCATGAGGAATACCATGGCTTTTCGGGCATGCTTGGAAGTCTCGATTGTATGCTAGGGCATTGAAAAATTGTCGTACTGGATGGAAAGGACAATACACTCGAGGTGATTATGGATATCCAACAATAATGCTTGAAGTTGTGGCCTCAATAGATCTATGGATTTGGCACGCATATTTAGGTGTTGCTGGATCATACAACGACCTTAATGTGCTATGTAGATCAAATTTGTTTCAAGAGAAATTGCAAGGACGAGCTCCGGAGGTTAATTTTACCATTAATGGCACCAAGTATGAAATGGGATATTATCTAGTTGACGATATATATCCTGAGTGGGCTGCATTTGTTAAAAAAATTTCACATCCTCGAGACCCAAAGAGGCTTTTGTTTAAGAAAAAGCAAGAGAGTGCAAGGAAAGATGTTGAGAGGGCATTTGGGGTATTCCAATATCGTTTTGCTATAGTTTGTGGGCCTGCACGTTGTTAGCATAAACGCAATATCCATGATATTATGGATGCGTGTATTACATTACACAATATGATTGTTGAAGACGAGCGTCACACTTATAACCATAACTTTTCTAACGATGAACACCAAGTGTTGTTGATGATGTGCATCAAGGACATGAGGAGAATTTCGAGTCATATCTTGAAAGAGATGCAACAATCTGAGATAGACAAATGCATTATCCCCAGCTAAAGCTAATTTAGTGGAGCATATTTGGTCACGTTTTGGTAGCTATAACTTGAATTGATCTTAATTTGTTAAGTTTGATTTTTTTTTTTATTATTTTTTTTTTAGGGAATGTTGTTTTGTTAATTAGTTTTATTTAGTGTATTGTCAAATGTTAGATTACAAAATATGCAAATAAATTTAGGAAGAAAGGTTATCAATACTCTTGATGAAAATATTTAATAATTCATATAAGCTCAAATAATCAAATTGCAAGCAAGTCATTCATATATAGTACGAGTACAATACAACTTATATGAAATTAAATTATTGGAGTAAATTTTAATATTGATAGCTGGCATAACTTGTGAAATTATATTATTGGAATTTTGTTTGGTAAAGGTAAGTAAATTAGCAATGAAATTTCAGCTTATATAGTGTAGTAGATAAAGTATTACATGCAAACTATAAAATTTTATAACCAACCATTGGAGTACTTTGTAACTTGAAATATTGATGTGGCAAATCAAGCTACAACTTCTTGTAGCTTACCATTAGAGTACTTTGTAGCTTAAATAGGTTGTAGCTTTAAAAGTTGACGTGGCAAAGCAAGCTATAAGCCTTTGTAGCTTACCGTTGGAGATGCTCTAAGGAGGAGCAAAGTTCCTTAGTTTGTTCATAATCATGGACCTTTAAAGCACAAGCTACAAGATTCAATTCCAAAGCAATAGCACGACTCCCCATTTACCAATTTGGTAAGTAAAAAATACTCCTTATAAAAAAATAAAAAAATAAATAACACAATGAACGATTTCCCTAGAAATTGTTTAAATCAAATTTAATTCCTATTTTGCATCGTTTTAAAAACGTATTCCTTGAATAGTGTCCATGTAGGATCGAGTATTAGCTTTTTTTTTTTTTTTTTTTTCTGGTTCAATGTAGAACCGCAATTGGTGATAGCGGTTTTACATTTACAACCTCTTTTTCCTGTAAACGTCCAAGCTATATTCCCTATATTGGGGATTAGTGGATTACTAGCTACTTTGTTAAGTGTTATACTAGCTCCATTTCACATTATTTGGGATTGTTGTTAAGTGTTACTGTTGCATTGCAATTACTTTTCCGAGAAAATACAAGTTTATCTTCATGATAAACAATATATGTTTATCATGAGGGTATAAGAGCAATTTCAACAATGAGCAAAAAAATGCTCATGAGCAAAAAATTGGTTGAAATTCCAAAAAAAAAAAAAAAAAAAAAAAAAAAAAAAAAAAAAAAAAGGACTTACATCAATGAGCAAAAACAAATTTGCTCATGAGCAAAATGAAAAATGCTCATAAGATGAGCATTTTTGAAGATGAATAGTAACTATGTTGGGCTCACGAGGTAAGTAAAAAAAAGAGAGAGAAAAATAATATAGTAGAGAGAAATGTAGGTGGATATTAGTAAAAAGTAGAGAGAAAATGGTAAAGAAATTTTTTTTGATCATTGGTGGATAAAAATATGATCACAAAAATGCTTATGAGTTGAAGGAGAGAGAAAGTGGGTAGAGAAAGAATGAAGAAACCATTTTTTGCTCATTGTTGATAGTGCTCTAATAGTCAGTTTACACATTCAAGTATGGGCAATTTTGTGATTTCATGTATAAAAGAAGTTAACACAATTAAGCATCGACTAACGGCATTAATGGAGGTGTCGGTGGATTTGAAGAGCTTCGATGGAGATTTCAGAAACTTCAATGGAGAATTCAAGCTCAAGGGTTGCATCAATGGAAGAACCTGTCACCCCTACCCTGTGGGGTTCACTATACTCTTCATTTCTCCCTTTTTTCGGGTTTTCGTCTAATTCGACGGCAAAGCTGTCGGAAATGGTGGTGGGGATGTCAGAAGCGGTGGTGTCGACGTAAGGCTTGTGGGGGTCGGGAATGAAGAAGAAGATGAAGCTTCTAGTATATGGTGGTGGACATGGTTTACTGCAATTAGAAAGGAGTAGTAGCATTATTCCAGCTGGAAAGCACACAATAAAAATAAAAAAAACATTATTTAAATCAGTAGCACAAATTCCAAATCCAATATATTACAATCTTACTATTAGATTTTTTTTTTTTTTTTTTTTTTTTTTTTTTGTGAAACAACAATCTTGCCATTAGATAAACAAGTTTTGTATTAAAAAAAAAGTTTTTGTTTATCATCAAGATAAATGGGGCCATGGGGGCTCCCTCATTAGAGCACCAACGGTAATGAAGGTGGAAATCCTTTTAATGGGAGGATAGTACCCAATTCTTTCTATGGAAAGGAGTAGCTCCCTCGTCCCACAAGCCAAAACCGGAAGAAAAAAACCAAAAAAAAAAAGAAAAAAGAAAAAAAAGAGGAAAAAGTAGTGTGAAGCAAAGAAGTCCCAAAATGCAACGGCCAAATGGATTTAAAATGATGACACTTGTCTTCATTTAAATGGTGGAATCATTTTTGTGATTAAAAAATGTAAAACGGCTATAATTTGTAAACGGTAACTTATTTGAAAAAACGAAAAACACCAACGGTCATAAAAAAATTTTAATATAATTTTTCCATATTTTCACACCCTTTCATTTTTTGCATTTTTTCCCATTAATCTCATATTTTCGGAAAAAAATCTAATATCACTCAAACACAATTTTTTTTCTCTATTTCACTTCCAGTTTCAAATACTCTTCAATATGGATTGTAATAATTCAAATTACGGGAGTAACATGAATTTTCAAAATAATCCAAACTTCCAATATAATCAAAATAATCCTCCTTTTGATCCAAATCTATTGAGTATTGAGCAATCCTCAGTATCAAACTGCTTTACAATGGTATAATAGTCAATCAAGACCAACATGTATTTCATTATGTATTGCATTTTCGTTGCTTATCTTCATCCGTGTATTTCATGTTTTTAATTCATGTGTTTTAATTCATGTATTTCATCTTTTTACTAATTTTTTATATTAACGTGCTAATGTGATAATGTATTAGTTAACGTGTTTTATGTTCATTTAATAATAATAATAATAATAATAATAATAATAATAATAATAATAATAATAATCTTTTACATACTTTAATAATAATTAAGTGTATTAATAGGGGAGGGAATATATGGTGACGTATATGTAAATAGGAGAGAGAAAATGAGAAAGGATACTCATTGATGTTGAAAATATTTAAGAAAGAGGATGGGTAAAAGGATGGAGATAGTGGGAAGTGATGTGAAGGAAAGAGAGATGTGTCAAGTGGAAGAGAGGAGAGAGAAAATGGGAAAGGATTTGTGTTTTTTTTTTATTTTTTTTATTTTGACAAAGATCCAAAAAGGAGCCTTAGCTCTCAACTGACTCAAGACTACAAATAAAACAAGTAGAGGGTTTAGCTTTCTTAACCAAACTAACACATGAACTATAACGGGAAATGGGGATACAACTTTCATGACTTGTTATGGGATACAAAAGTGGGGTTCCATCGTAGACATTAGCCATAAGATGATCAGAGTTTGTTATTTTTTGCTTCTTGGACCTGCAAAAATGATATATAATACCCCGTATTTTTATATGTATATTAATTTAAAACATCATTTTATGAAGTATTTAAATAATTCGAAATGAATTATAAATTATTTACGGTATTTTAATAATTTAAAAAGGTTTATTTTAATTAAAAGTCCATTTTTATTTATTTAATCGCTTTGAAAATATTTTATTTTATCATTTAAAAACTTTGGGGCATAATTAATTTATAAAAAGGAAGTTTTAAAGTCAATGGGGTTTTAAAGAAAGTCAAATGTCATTTTGAAAAGGATTAGGAATCATTAAGGGTAGAAAAGGAATTTAAGTTAGGAGGGTTTTGAGAGAGGGTATAAATACCCATCATATAAGCAAATTAAATTTTGCCCAAGGTGGAGAATACACAAAGAAGACTTCCAAGTGAGTGATTTTGTATAGTCGTGGCGATTTTGAGATCATAATCGAGGTACGTTCGCGTACTCGGTAATTATTTAAGTGTGTAGAAGCATGCTAGACTTTGTTTAATTAATTCCAAGGTAGTATCATGATAGGTGTTGGTTAGAATTATTGATTGGATTGATTTTGGTGATTTATTTGTGAAGTATGAATTATTTGAGGTAAATTGTTGATTGGAATTAATTATGTTGGCATGTTGATTATGAACCACAATTTTATTATTGGCATGATTGAGAGCATGTTTAATTAAACTAAATGTTTAATTTGGTTTGGAATATAAAAAGGGTATTTTATGATGGTTCATATAATTTTTATTGATTCTCTAAGCATGGGAATTGAGCTATTAAGTGTCCTAGTACACAAGAATAAAATATATTGCGGTGTCTAGTGCATTTAAGATGTTCTGAACACCGAGGGATAAGATTGCGGTGCTTTATGCGCTTAAGGTGTTATTTAACGCCGAGGTTATCTAAAAAGGGTTCAACATTAAATTTATGTGGTCACTAATTATTCAAGAATTAAATTGGTATGTTTGATTGCTTGAATGAATTATGATGATTGATTGTGTTGTGGATTGAGAGTCATCACCAAGTCTAAAATATGTAAACAACATAACGTGAAAGAGATTACCCACCAAAACTCTTGGAACGTATATACCTCGAGTATGAACATATGGGGGGAGTTATGGGGTTTTATATTTAACCATAGCTTCTATTGGGAGTACAAGACGCTGTAGTTTCCTTTTACTATTTCATGCGCAAGACGTCGTCACTTTCATGTGACATTTGCCTACCTGGTTAGCTCCCGGTGTAGTTTACCTCAATTTATTTGGGGCATAGATTTGGTGGGAAACCCGTTCGATGCGTAATCAAATTAAATAAGCAATTCATTTATTTATTGGTTGGATGTATGGTATGTTGTATGCTTGAAACTGGCGCAACAAGGTAAGTTGTGTGTTGATAGGATGAAAGCATGTTAGTGTGTACTGTTATGCTTATGTACTCAGCATTGCTGATTGTGTGTTTGTATGTTTGTTTGGCCTTGTCTTTATCTTGGTCCTATGTCGACCCATTTCTAATGGCGAGTAGTGGGGACAAAGTAAAGAGAAGATTTTCAGGTGATGAAGCATATTCATGGTGGGTATGAGTGAAGAGCGAATCCTGTTTAGTTTCCATAGGAATATGATGTGTTTTATTTACTTTGATTATTATATATTTTCTTGTGAGACTAACACAAAGGTTTTAATATTTGTTTTGGGTTTTGTTAAGGGCCTATAATGGTTCCAAGTTGTAGGTTGACTTTGGTTTGACTTTACTTTCATTGGTTTGACTTTTTAAGTTGACTTGTTTTGAATGGTTTTTAAAGTGAAGTCTTCCGCTGTGTGTCTTTGATAATTGCCTTAGCCATTTTCACGGTGACGGTAATGTCTTAGATTTTCCTATTTCGTATTTTAAAAAGAGCAAAACAGGTATTTTAAAGGAAAGGAATTTCTAGGGTGTTACACGATACCTGGAATAAAGATTACCTTTCTTGTTCTTCTTCCTTGACATGCGCGACCTACTATGTTTCCTCGTCGTGGCAGAGAACTTGAAAATAGTAGGTTGGGATGAACTACATCTGGCCAGGTTCAAAATTCATGGGGTCATCTTCATTGGATCCAACAGATTCCACTTCAACAAGGTCAGTGGCAGGATAGTCTCTCGCTGGATCTTCACTCCCATTTTCGACGCTTGAACCTTCAGCGTTGTCATAAGTTAGGCCTGAAGACATAGGCTCATCTAACTTCTCAATAGCAGTAGTGTAGGGTTTTCCAGACTCAACGACATGGTTAACCACTGCAGGGCCAAAAGAGGGCGTGATCATTTCCTTTTTGGGCTTCTTGTCGCGTCTCTTCCTACCCGGACTCATCTTCTTAATAAGCATGGACAAGGAATTTGGACCTTTGGAATTCGTATCCTTGCAAATTTCTGAATGCCTATCTTGAGTAGGCTTTTCCTTCATTCGTACAGTCATCCATGAACCCGCAGATTGGTTAAAGAAACTCAAAGTCCTCCCTCGCTTGAGATTCGAATAGGACAAGGATGAAATCTTAAGAGACTTGTTTCTTTTCATTTCATTAGAGAAACAATGGAATTTTCCAGGTTCCAAAACATGTCTTGATTCCTGATCGTTTATGAGGAAAGTTAAATTGACTTCCTCATTTTTCAAAGGAGCATACACATTGTGGGTATGGATAGGGCTCTCAACCTCCATCTTACTAGCTTGGCATGTAGAGGGCAAGCTAGTAACATCACTCCTTTGGTCATTGCAACGAGAAACTGGGCCTTTCACTAGGCTGATAGTTGACTCTATGGCGACTTTGCTCTTTTCGTTGTAGTTGCACTCAGGCGCGATAGAATTTTCAGCACCCCTCTTACCACCGAGCTTACTTGCCTCACAATTTAGGCCCTTCACTTTCTCCAGTTGAGGATATCCTGATTATTAGGCTCTGACCTGGCTGCCTTGCCAAGATCCTCATAAGCCTCTTCTAGTTGGTTAAGTTTGATCTCTATTAAATCCCTTCTTTAAAGAGTTTTGGCATTGCTACCATCAAACTCAACGATTAAGGAGCAAGGTTCCTTAGTTTGTTCATAATCATGACCTTTAAGGCACAAGCTGCAAGATTCAATTCCAAAGAAATAACAAGACTCCCCATTTACCAATTTGGCAAGTAAAAAAAAAAAAAAATTGTAGGAAGAAGCTAGAAAACACAGGGAAGGGTCTAGCTCCGCGCCCACCGCACCGCAATACACTGCTCTGCGCTTCTAAATTTCTAATACAACCAATAGGAGAGAGAAAGTAAGCCATGGATTCCGACGAAGAAGACTTCGTGTTCTTCGGAACTCCTATTGAAAGAGAAGAAGACCTCACTACTCGCAAGAAGAAGGCCCTTGCTGAATCTTCTTCTCAACTTCGCACCCTTCCTTCATGGAAACAAGAGGTTTTCTTTTTTATTGTTTATTTTTGTTCGTTATTTTCAATTGTTTTTTTTTTTTTTTTTTTTTTTTTTTTTTTTTTTTTGTGCATTTCATCATCTGTTTATTCGGCGAATTAATTTGTTGTGTTCAATTTGCAAAATGAAATTTGAAATTGGTTGATTGAAAAATTTTCAATCAACCAAATGTTTATTAAACTACTTTCGATGCGATGAACAAGAAGAATGTTTATCATTTGGTTGATTGAAAAGTCTGGAAAATTCTTCTTGCATTTGCAAAATGAAATTTGAAATTGCATAGTTTTTAGAATTACTGTCATTAAAATCTGGCAAAATAGTCAATAAACCTTTAATTATTTGGTTATTAGTTTAATATTGTTCATCGCATCGAAAGTAGCTTTTGTGAAATTCAGTATATAAGCGGATCGTAATAATTTGATGCACTAAAGTTTGATGTTGTCTACGAAATTTGCAAATTTTGCTGCGAGTTGTTTAATTTGGACAGTGAGGTATCAGGTTGCTAGTTATTAGTCGCGACCACGGAGGATTGTGAAAAGTGAACGTTGAAATAACTTTCGAGTATCTGATACGAAGTATTAGTTGTTACCGTGTGGAGTATTAAAATCTGAAGATGAAACAGCATTCGATATCTCATTAGTCAGAATACAATGGCCTGCACAGATTAATGGAGATTAGGAGCATTAGTGTGTTGATCGTACTCTCTTTAGGATTTACCATGTCCTATAGACAAATCACTTGTGTGAAGCGGCTTTAGGCATGAAATTAGCATATTATATTGTAAGCGTATTGCTGTGCTCTTAGGCACACAATCAGTTTGCGTAACGATGATTGCTTCTTTCCTGTGTGTTTGATTTGTTCTGTGTTGGGTTTTATAGTCTGTAACTGAGGTGAAGTTGTAAACTTTTCTACAGTCATCAACAATATTGATAGTTTTTCTGAGCTTAGGAGTTTTGTTGTGGTCTGATCCAGCTTCATCAGTTTTGATATGTGTGTAGAATTTTTAATTTTGTTATTGTTGTTTGGTCTGACATGGGTCTTTACTAGTCCCGTATGCTCCATTTGATGTAATGTGATTTAGATATAAATAAGTAGCGAGTATTGAACAAGGTAATCACTAATTAGACTAACAGAACAATAGAACATAGCCTTAATCCGTTACCTTTTCCTTTATTGAAACTGAACCTATAAAAACCTTCTTATGTGAGCTTTTCATTTACCTTTTTTCTTTCTCGTCCGTAGTTTTTCCATGTATGTATAAATTAGAAAGCATAGGCATGTAAACGATATATGAATAAAATAGAATAGGCATGTATAAATTGTGAAGGTTAGAAAGGGCAGTCAACAACCGCTAGTGCTCTCTTCTACTTTGTTGCTTAGAAGTGATAATGTTGCTCTTAGGTCAGAGATGAAGAAGGGAGGAGAAGATTTCACGGAGCATTCACTGGAGGGTATTCTGCTGGTTTTTACAATACAGTGGGTTCAAAAGAGGGTATGTGCTGATGACCTTAATCAGTTTTTGTTTTTTATTTTTTTTGTAGATTGATTTAATATTTTTTGTATGAGTTTCTGTGCAGGTTGGGCTCCACAGTCATTCACATCTTCCCGGAAGAACAGAGCTGAAGCTAAAAAGCAGAGTATTTTGGACTTTCTGGATGATGATGAAAAAGATGTATGTGATATGCTTACATTAATACTTATCTAGAATGTTTCTTCTACTTATTAGCTATTACATGCGGGATATTGTTTTTCTTTGTTCGTTGGTTGAGTATGTGTCTAATGATTACTATCGCATCTCTACTTTATGCATAGTAGAATTTGTTTATTGATGTTATTAATATAGAAATGCTGGACGGGCAATGGATCATGTGAACAAATATACATTAGCATTGGAGTAGATGCATAACTTATCAATGAAGTATAATATATACTGAAAAATAAACATCATGCTATAGCATAAGTTGTTCAAGATATGCATTATGCACAGATCAATGCTCTTGAAAGTCAGATATCTTCGTAATAAGTTACCCATTTATAATGTTAGTTCCTATTAAATTTTCTTTGATTATTTTAGCTAAGCAGGCAATGCAATTTCACATAGATACTCTTTGTTTTGCCTTGCTTTGCTTTTGATCCAAAACAACAGCAGTATCATTGCTATTATATGTCATTGTTAATTCATGATCTGTTTTAATCAGGGTTTGATTCTCTTGTTTAAAAGCATGTTAAAATTTTGTAGTAACAAGTACTTAGATGCATGCGGCTTAGACAATATGATAAATAACATAGAATGATACCGAGGAGGTAATTGATGCAAGTAGAATAGAAGAAAGAGAGAGGAAAGGCAGAACACTACAGGTAGACAATTATGCTGGGAAAGTTGGGTATGGTTAGAGAGGTTTTGAGAGGAGAGAAAATAAGAGGATGTAAGAATAAATGATGGGAAAAAGGTCTGTGGGTAAGAAACTGGAGTAAATCTTGCTTTGGTTTAGTACCCTTTGAATTGTAGATTTCGGTTCAGGTGTCTTTGATGCAATGTTCTTCCATTTGTCTGGGTTTAATTCATGCAATCTTTTAACATATTCAAATAAAACTCTAATCATGACTTTGAGAGTGATATACGTCTTTCAACTTACTAGGAAATGGGAGGCCAAGTTTTGGGAACATCATCACAATTTGATACGTTTGGATTTACTGCTGCAGAGCTTTCTCGCAAACAAGTTGAGAAGGAGCAGAAGCAGAGGTGAGTTTTCCTTGGTTCCCTTGTATCGCTCCATAATTATGGGTGCTCTTGAAGTTTCCTTTTTTTGTATTTGTTATTTCAGTCTGTTTCCTTCATTGATTAGTGCTCTACATTTACTTCTGAAGTTAGGATTAAATTGATGTTATTTAAAGGATTTTGAACTATATGTTGTTGCCTGACTAAACTATCATAATCTAAACTGCCTACCCACCCACTTCACTATATAATCAATACCCCTCTCAATCTCTTTCTTGTCCACCTTCCCTTCCCCCTTTGCCTAAACTACCCGAGCCCTTCCCACTTTGTCTAAACTACCCGAGCAAAGACAACCACCTCAAAAAATCCAAAATGTCTTCCATCCCTGCTATCTCCAGCAATGAAATTGCCGACAAACCTTTTTGTCTAAAATGCTAGAAAGTTGCTATCTTCTTTGCATATTGCAGGGTAGGATACCAATTTATGTAGAAGAACCAGGTGCCAGAACCATTAAAGGTGTTGCTGTGATAGTTTTTGTGTCTATGTGTTTGTGAGGAAACCGACACCCTGAGCTTCTTTTATTTTTTTCCTGGTTTATTCTACTGTGCTGTGACCTTAATTTCTAATTTCTTCTACCAATTTATATAGAAGAACCAGGTGCCAGAACCGTTAAAGGTGTTACTGTGATAGTTTTTGTGTCTGTGTTTGTGAGAGAAACCGACATCCTGAGCTTCTGTTATTTTTTTCCTGGTTTATTCCACTGTGCTGTGACCTTAATTTCTAATTTTCCAACATCATTATTCGTCTTTGAAGATTATTGTTCTTACTATAACAAAAAAGTTAGACCTCCCATTTCTGTAATTTAGGTGTCAATTTTCTTGCTATATAATTATTTCTTCTTTGATTTGGGTCTATGCCCTGTTCTTGATTCTGGGGTTTTCTGAAACTTTTGGTTTTAATAATTAATCAAGTGTTTGAGATCCAAATTATGGTGTTGTGAAATTTAGGAACTTATTTGTTTAGTTTATTTGATTGCTAATTTAATTGAGAAATGTTGATGATTCTTCTTTTTTCAAATGCCTCAGTTAATTGGGAAATGGTAGCTGGGTTCTTTTATTTCTTCTATTTTTTTTTTTTTTTTTTTTTGGGTGTAATTTTAAGGGCAATTTAATTTTCTTGTATAAAGATACTTTGTTGGAAAGGCTATGAATAAGACTAGTAACAAATTATTTTGTGTTGCAGGCCATCAATTATTCCGGGTCCTGTTCCTGATGAATTAGTTATTCCTGCTACAGAATCCATTGGTTTGTTTTCTGATGCTGGTAATTTAGTTTCAAAGAAGATCTTGTACAGTCACTTAAAGCTTCTCTGCTGTCATTTCTTAGGTGTAAAGTTGCTGTTGAAGATGGGATGGCGCCATGGTCGATCAATAAAGGATTCTTCTATTAATTCTCTCCATGGTATGTTTTTTAAGTTTGGATAGCTTGTTGAAGTATCTTTCTTTGTCATTTTAGTTTACAAGTTTGTCTATGTTGTTATAGACCCCATTGAAAAAGAATTAATTTTTTTCACCTTGCATTTGTTACTGTATATAAACCAATTCTAAAAAATCTAGGAAATTGCGAACTAGATATTGTATATGAGCATTGGTCTTTCTTCCTAAATTATGCTCACCACTGAAGGCATATTGTGGCTGACCTTGAAGGCTTGTATGAAAAGTTTAATTCTATTAACTTCGGATAAATAACTAGACATAAATTATACAGACTTGTCTGTTAAATCGAGTTTGAGGTTGGTCTCCGGGTCCTTGGTTATCCGGGTAGGGTCGGTTTGGGTTATAGCCCTTATAGGTATAAAAGTACTCAACCTAAATTTCAGGTTCAGGTCAATTTAATGGGTTTAAGAGCTTATATTGTTATTTTTTTTTCAATGGTAAAAAGTTGAGTTTCCAAGTGTTACTTTTTCTAAAATAAATTTTCCATCAGGAAAAGACACCTATATCCTTTGGACCGTTATAAGTGATGGAAAATTAGCTGTATTCTGAATGGCCCATGCACAGCTAGGTGACTAGGTTGTAAGGGTTCTTATAAATTAGAAATTGGCCCATCGGGCTAGTCCATAGTTTGAGCCAAGCCTAGTAAATCAGATTAAAGACAAAAGTGCTATATCTCGTATTATAAAAGGTTGCCTTAGCTTGGCTTTCATTGGGTTTGTTAAAAAAGATACTTGATTAATTTTATGGGGTGTCTAGTACATCATATATCAAAGGTTGGCACATGAGGTTAGAAATGTGGAGCGGTATCCCTGATTGTGTTTGAGGAAGATATATAGGGAATTGACTCTTGGATATAAACTACGAAAATGTATAGTTTTCTTCAATTTTTTTATTTAGTGGGATATAGTGTTTGACCCAATGGGTTGACCTGAGCAAAACTCATTTTGACCTACTACTTTACAAGTCTATGGAGTTAGGTTTTGGATTGGAAATTTTGATCAATACCCCAAAATGGGGTCAGGTGGTCGAGTAATTTTGAAAAGCCTAGGTGTTACCCAAATGCAAAAGGACTAATTAGTACGATTCCAGGCTGGGAGATGTCTTTTCAGAGCAAAAAGAGGATTTTCTTGATTTGGTTCAAAGCGTTGGCCTTAGATCTATTACAACTCATTTTCCTATTATAAACGAATGTCTTCTGGGGCCCTCCCTCATCTAGGTTTGAAAAATATGTGGACTTCTCAACATGATCTTAGAAGAAGGGTCAAAGAATAGTGGGATAAGTGGGAAATATGGACTTGGGACTTCGGTGGGGTAAAATTCTTTAAATGTTTATAATAAACAATAAAATCATCAAGAAGTTAAATTATGTAAAAAAAAAAAAATAAAAAAAATAAAAAATTTATGGTGGGAGTTCATTAAAGATTTGATGATGTTAGGGAAATTAAGGAGAGACTTCTTTAAAAGATTGAGCTACTGAAGGAGAAGTCTTTAGAGTAGAAAAATTTGTAGTTAATATTTTATGTAGAATGATAAAATTTACTGCCTAAAGCAGGAGATATCGTTCTGAATGTGTTTTCTAAGGTTGAGAGTAGTAGGCATTGTCTTAGACTCTTAGCCATGAGAAAATGCTTCAAGGGAGAATTAGGTCTTGAAAGACGATAAGGTTATTTCTCTTCATGCAAATTTCAATAGGGACTTATTGAGGATAATATTATTCCTTGATGATGGTTTGTAATGGAGTTTTATTTATAATATGGTCAATATTTGTTGCAATGCTCTTTTGAAGAACATGAAATTAGGGTGGAAGATAATTGTTTGGAAGAATTAACTGCTGCACTATAAGGCATGTTGGGATACAACTAGAAGTGATCTCAAGGATTTTCAACAAGTTTGCTATGTTTGAAGCATGGGCAAGTGTGAGCTTCAAATTTTATTTTCTTATTAAAAAAGACTGATCTTAAAATGTGAGGGGATAAACTATCTCATAGTTTGTATAAGATTTTGAATTGAGGGCTAGCTAGTTCATTGTGCTTTCTAGTGCACTTTGTTTAATGCTAAGTGCTTTTGTAGATTGCTATTGAATTGATAACAGATATTACTATTAGAGACGGAAAGGTAAAAATTGGATTTTGTGGGGGTAGGATGGCTCTCATTAAATGATGTCTTTTAATATTGCTCTTTATCACCTTTTCTTTTCTTCTAAATCTAATTACAAATAACTGCAACATTTTCCAACTTCGTTTTGAAGTTGAGGCCTTTTTTAATAATGGTTGTACCTTATGCGTGAGCTGTGGGAAGCAGGTGGATAGAATAAACTGTCTTGATATTTTACGGAGCAGTGGCCAACAAGAGTTTTGAACTATGTTTGTATAGTGTATTTTAAGGATGGAAACTGATGTGGGGGAAATCAATGAAGTTTCAAGCAGAGATAAATATGTGTGATTCACTTATTAAAAAGTTTAATGCAGTGTTTGAAAAGGCGCGTCTAGGCGCTGAGGCGCAAGGCAATAGGGGGTAAGCGCTTTTTTTTGCTTGGGCGAGGTATTTTTAACTAGGAGCACCAGAGGCGCCCGAGGCGCACCAAAAGCGCTCGAGGCGCACCCGAGGCACACCTGAAGCAATTTTCTGCCAATTTTTTTAACTGTTTATACAGTGCGCCTCACTTCAAAGAGGCGCGCCTTAGGCACACCTAGGCGCTGCATAACCCTTATCGCTTCAGCGCGCCTTGAGCTGTTTTATACATTGGTTTAATGAAATCAAGTTTCTCAATCTTCAATTTCATGTAAAGTTTGATATAGTTAATGTAATCACAAACATTGATATGCTCACAAAGATGCAATAGGAGAGAAAATGTTATTAATTGATAATAAGCAAAAGTTGTTCTTGAAAAATATCTTTCCTCCTATATAGGTGGCTACCAATACACTTATCAACTTTTAATAAGAGCCCTAAGATTACATTTGAATGGTCAAGATCAACTTGTTAAATACAGAATAGGTTGTAAAATATCCATAGAAGTCTCACCCCAAGCAGTTCGAGGCGTTTGTGGAAATTGAAAGCTGAAAGAAGACGTTCCCTCGAGTGCTTGGGCTTGGGGCAGGTCCCCTGAACAATCAGGGCAGGATTGCCTTTGCGGGGCTACCGAATTGGCGAGGAAGGAAACTCTAGACTGCTTGACTTGAAACACTTATAAACTCTTTTCTCACTCACTCATATTAGGTTTGGTTTATAACCTATCGATGGAATGCCTTTGAACTCAATTTATATCTTCAAATGGAATTACCTTGAATCTATTTGTAACAAAGAAGATATCACTATCAAAATTAATACACCAATAACAAATAACAACCGAGCACTTATACTTTTGTACATAATTTCACCTTTGCTTCTATTTTTTAATGACTGAACATGACACAAAAAATCTCTTATACCTAAGCCATGTCATAAAGTTGGATAACCATCCAAACAGTTGTTTTGGGCGAATAAAATACACCATTTCTAAACTTAGTCAAACATCCATATTTAATTCATGGGCATCATGGATGCTCCCACATCATAAAGACTCAACTGAAGAGTGGCTGTGTGAAGGGCTATTTATGTGTCAGAAACTGAAATAATTAAGTAGTTTTGCTGTTAAGTTTGTCATTCTCTTTAAGTTATTTTCCTTTTTATCTTAATGGATTCTTATCTGAGTGGAGGGAGGAGGTTGTTTTCCTATATTGATATTTATCTGTGTATTGTCTTGTTGAAAGAGGCTCGCCGAGAAGCTAGAAAAGCATTTATGGCCCTTTCTTCTGCCGACAAAACTTCTGATATGGCTGGCTCTGAGCCCCATAAGAATGGTTCTGATGACCTTATGGAGGAGCTAGCTACTGATGATGTTCAGTCTACCCGGAGCACACCAGTAAGTTTATAATTTTGCAGTATTATTTTAATTGTCACCTCAAAGGAATTGGCAAATTTATCACTACTTTGTGATTCACTGTTAGGTTACCTACTCCTCTTGCTATATTTCTCTCTTTGTGAATCAATGAAATATTTTTCATAGCATGTATTTATGAATGTAAGATATATGTCCATTATATATGGTGATTAGAGAATACTTCTATGTATTTGTTGCTTACTTCTTGTTTTAAAGATAAGATGTCAACATTCAAACTTGATCATAACTGTTTTTTTAAGTAAATTAAATCTGAACTAGTGAAATTAAACTGTTAAAAGTCTTAAAACAAACTCTGTGCTTCTTTAGTGGTTAAGGCCATTAGCCTATTTGACTTTTAAAAAAACGGAACCAAAGATGCTGTCTTGTCTTTTGTTTCATTTCTGCACAAATTGAAGAATACCTGCACTTAAAACAATGTAGAATCTAATCTGGTGGTGTTGAGATTTACTCAAGGAAAATGAAACAGAATACAACTGTTTCTTTCAAGAGGTATACTGTCATAAAAAAGGTTATAGGCTAGTTTCTTTCTGCTAATGTTTCAAGGCATCTTTATATCTGAATTTTGTGCTTACTGCATTGTGGAAACTTCATTGTTTGTAGAAATGTAATGATTGATGCCTACATATATATGGGTGAATGCAAAAGATGATGAGTATCAATATTTGTTGGAGTTGAATTGAATATTAACTGGCTTCATGATTTGATAAATGTGCCCCTATCTAACATGTTTTGCTTGTTTTAGGTATATGTACGTCAGCCAAAGCAGGATTTGTATGGTCTAGGTTATGATCCATACAAGCATGCTCCAGAATTTCGAGGTATGTGATGTGATTTCTCTTGTCTATGCTTTTATCCAAGTCAAGGTATTTACTATCATGCTTGATGTGGGAAATCTGAAGTGTTTGGATATATTTTCAGAAATGAAAAGATCACGCTTATCAGGGAATAATGAGATTGGATATAGAAAAACTTCATCATCAAGACAAGAACCTCTTATTGCCAAATGTAATATTTCCCTTCCCCTATAGACTACTTTCCATGCTTTAAATCTTGTTAGACATTAAGAAAATGAAGTTACTAACTGCCACTTATTACTTACAGCAGGAAAGCTTGCTTCTGGTTTTGGCATTGGTGCCCTGGAAGAATATGATGTTGAGGATGAGGATATCTACTCATCTGGTTAGTCTTACGTTAAAGATAAACATTATATGGGATTGGTGCTTAGATTTATGAGTTTTTCCCAGTTTTTATAAGATCTGGTTTTGTGGGACAGTGTTGACTTTGTAGATTACTTCTGTGGTAGAAAAATGTAAATTTACATAGTTTAGAGTAGTGGAAACCATCATCTAAAGGCTGGATAATTTGCTCCTAGTGCTTAATGTCTTTGACTTTGTGGGATACCTGGTCCTCCTTGAAACTTGGAATTCTTTTTCTAAATTTTTTTTATTTTTTATTTTATTTATTATTATTTTTTTTTAAATATGTAAAATGTAACCAGTTTGTTTGTCTTTGTTTACTTTGTGTAATGAACTGAATTTTCTGGCTTAATATTTCTGATTTAATTATGCAATGATAAAGAAGAAAGTTTTAAGATTGATTGATGATGGAGAAAGGGTTACAAAAGATAAGTTAATAGCTTAAGGCTATTACTCTTAAATAGTGAGTTTAGCTCACAACTCTCCAAAATGGCTTTAGGCCATGACTCTCTCTAGGTTTCCCCAATAAATTTCTGCCTACCTCTTCCTTTCCCCTCTCCCTCTTTTTATACTAAGGCTGAAGACTATTAACCTAATGATACTAAACTTCCCAAAGTGCCCCTCCTAAAGCTAGTCTATTACACTTTGGTTCCTTAACTTCTGATGTTTGCTATCTTTTCACATATTGCTATTAGATACTATTTTCTTTCTCTAAATACTCTTTAAAAGTCAAAAAGCTGGCTATACTCCATTAGTGTCCTTTATACTCATTGTCTGTTGGTAGATTTTATAAATAATCTCTTTTATTGAACTATTATTACTTATATGCAAATAGATGCTATTGAATGGGATCTTGTGTTAATTTTTTTCCTTTATTTTATTTTATTTGGTGGTGTTCCAATTTTGACACTGTGGGATCCTGTCAGCCGTACCTCATTGAAATGGTGGTTCAGCATTTGTAGTTGTACTTCTATTACTGGTCGCATCTTTGCTTGAGATTTCCTGGACCTTATAATTTCCATGTTGATATTGTTCTCCATGCTTGATTTCTGCTGTATAGGACATGATAACGTTGAGACTTATCTCCCAAATGATGATGATGAGCTCTTGAGACTGGAAATGGTTGATGGGCAAAAAGCAGCTGAAGTGAACCAAGGTTTTGGTCTTAGATTCAGAGTTGCATCTAATTCTGATTATCAGCTGGAAAGGTACTTTCCATACGTAACAGTGTATGCATATCTCATGCGTTGTTTTCTTCTGTGCTCTATAGCTCTTTTGTATCATCTTCTTAATGATTATTATTGTTAATGTTATTTTAAATCAATGCTTGCTTCCACATTGGATCGTTCTCCTCCAACCCATGTTATTTTCTTGTAGGCTTTTTAAAGGATTTGTCGAATTATTTGCATGGTTTCAAAGTTTTTGCATAATTATCTTAATGAATTTCCTTTGTCAGTCTGTCACATCCATAATCAGCTACTTGATTTGCATGGAATGACACTTACTAGGAAGGACTTTGTATTCCACACAGGCTCCCTTTTTGCCTTGGTTGGTAGGGTACAAATCCACAAATAGAAATAGGCTAGTTAAACTGACCCTGCAAAAAGAAAGCTTAAAAAGCAGCAATGTAGGAGAAATACACTAACGGGCAAAAGATTATTGTAGTCGACTTGTTCTGAGGGATTTTGTTCCACAACATGATAAGAAAGACCTGTATCTATTACATGTATTTATATCGCCTTGTTATAGTTTCTTTATTTGTTTTCTTTAAACTCATTTCCTGGCCTTGCCAGTGTTGCCACTGTAGAGTCATCATTGTTTCTTGTTTGTGATGAAGACAATTAAATTATATTAACACTTCACATTCATGAAATACTATTCTGACCTAATTATAAGAAATTTTCTATCAATCTGTATCCAGATTTGATCCTCCAATTATTCCGAAAGATTTTGTGCCACAACACAAGTTTCCTGCTCCTCTTGAAACAAATCTGATGAGCGACCCCCCTCCACCAGAGGTTGCACCTCCTGCTGACAATAACCTTAAAGTCATGATTGAGGGAGTTGCAGCTCTGGTGGCTCGTTGTGGTAAATTATTTGAGGACATTTCTAGAGAAAAGAACCAGACCAATCCACTGTTTAGTTTTCTTAATGGCGGAAGTGGCCATGATTATTATGCAAGGAAGTTATGGGAAGCACAACAGAAGTGTAATGGTCAAATTAGAATGCGGCCAGATGAAAAGTTACATTCCGTTGTTCAGAAATTGACTGCTGAGAGTCGTGGGAAAATCTTAGGGGAAAGGCCACTGGAAAGGACATTACGTGATTCAAGCTCTGTTGCTGCTGCTGCTGATGATGATAATGATAATGTTCAATCCAGTCTGTCAGATACATTCATTAAGCCTGAAGTGATTGTAAGTGGTATTATATAATTATTGTTTTTCTACTTGTGCTTGATAAAATCATTAGTGGCTTGATATTGATATTAGCTCTAATTTATTGGATATGTATGTTGGAATATTTGCTGATGTTGCTGGCAAAAATTTTGTTGATTGGCCATGCACAGCACACACCTGATCACTCATATCTTGCCATAGGCTTGCTTAATTTTTATAGCATCTAAAGGACTAGGGTTAAAAGAATCTCGATGATTTTATATAAAAATTTACTTATTCGTTTTGTCCATCAGAAGGAACTCCTTGAAACTGCAAAGACTTACAAAGATGATCCAGCAAAGCAAGAAAGATTTGAGCAATTCCTAAAGGACAAATATCAGGGAGGACTTCGTGTGACAGATACAGGTAAATCAGCTTATATGTCGGAAGATGCTAGAGCTCGTGAGAGATTGGATTTTGAGGCGGCTGCTGAGGCAATACAGAAATCCAGATCTGCCAACCAAAGCAAGCTTTCTGGCCAGCAGTCAATGGACTTCACTATGGCAACTGGAATGCAGTTTACCTCTGGTGGAATTCAGGTTAGTTTCAGGATCATTTGAAGTTTAGTACCAGAAACAATGGTTTAAAATTTCTAAGTATTCTCTCCACAGCTTGGGAAGGAAATCTCTACTGAAGAATTGGTGTCAAAGAAGATATATCCGAAGCGTGAGGAATTCCAATGGCGACCTGCCCCTTTATTGTGCAAGCGTTTTGACATTGTTGATCCTTTTATGGGAAAAGTGAGTTCATTTCCATTTTGCTTTCATTTTACAATTGCAATGTATTCGTTTTATTATTTTTAATAGCTAGTTATTCCCTGGTAAGCATTATCTTTTCATTTCTGAATATATATCCAATCACTTCAGGTTTCCCACATCAAGTGTAAGATAAATATCATGACTTAGGTAAAGCATAGACCAAGAGAATATACACCACATACCATGAAATTATGTTTAAGAGCTAGATTTTTTTTTTTTTTTTTTTTTTTTTTTTTTTTTTTTGGTGTCTATATCTTTTATGCTACTCTCTATATTGTCATTTATTGTCATCTATATATGTTTATGATCTTTATCCTTTACGAATGAAAAACGATTTAAAACTTTTTATTCTATGATTGTAATTTCATTTCCCTGTATATATATTCAAGTAGCTTTTCTAATTTGTTTTATTATTATGTACTTTGCCAGCCGCCTCCTGCTCCAAGGATAAGAGGCAAGGTGGATTCTCTCATTTTTGCCCCAGATACTGCTAAAATTAAGAAGACAGAAGATGTAGTTATCTCTAATGAGCTGTCCATGGACATGAGTAGCAAAGAAGCTGAAGTTTCTGTGGAAATTGAAAATATTGAGCGACCAATTGACCTATACAAGGTTTTTGTGCTTCTCATTTTCTCTCTTTGGTAGCTCAATTGGTACTTTGGTAGTCTAGCTCATTTGTCCGAGTTACTGATTTTTTTCGCTGCTTTAAACATTGTTACTCATAAATTTTTATTTAGATCTTTCCCCAATCATGCTTGGCAATCGGCATAGTGAGTTGTACCATCATCTGGAATTCCATCCTTTTTTTTGCTGCTTGCATGACAATGCATGGTGTTGATTCTGCTTTCTTTCTTACTCTCTTGGATTGATAACGTTGGTTTGATTCTTTATCCTTTAAGCTGTTTGCTTCTGTTTGACATGACTGGCATACATATGGTCGTATGGAATCAGGATTGGCAAAAAAATCAGTATGCTTACTCCTGGATATGTCCAATTTTTCCCTTTCTAGTATGACATAAAATTCCTTTTTTCTTTCCAACTCACAATCCTAGAAAGAGGTCTGCACATGCGTAGGAAGAGTTCAATTGGTAATTAACTCAGCCTTTAGGCATGTGTGGGATCAAGTCTCACAAGTGAAAATTTAGGGGTATCTTTTTTCTTTATTTCCCCTCTTGTTTCTGAGCTGTCTTTGGCCCTAGACTCTGAGATTAACCCAACAGAGGGGCTTACCAAAGGGGTTCCCACTAGTACGCTTAATGCTGTGAAATAATTACTTTCAACTCATTCTTTGAGGATTTTGTTTAACCAGAAATATTTCTGAATTTTGCTCTTATCTAAAATATTTATTTGTTACAATTGCATGTTTTTGGTCCAATAAAGTGTCAAGTATCCAAATCCATATCAGACTATCGAGTATTTCACTTGTTTATTTGAGATGAAATGAGGAGTTTATCATAGTGTTGCGTTATAGAGAACAGGATCTTTTTCTTTCTTTGTGAAAACATTGGACTTTCATTTCCTGGTATCACCTGTCTGTTGCTCTTATCCAAGATTCGTGCAGGCATCTCTAATCGGCAATATGAGAGATTTCCCTTGTTTTTCTAGAGTTTCTAAGTTGAGACTGAGTTGTCATCTTGTAAGTTAGGATATGACAAGTAGACTGTATGCTGGAGGGACTTTAGGTCATGGGAACATGGTGTCCACCCTTATGATGCACCTATCTGGTTTTCATGTGAGGTTCTTGTTTGTAGCCTTCATATGCAGCGGAGCTTAATTTGTAGAAGCTGGGGAAACTTCAATTTCTGTCATCGGTACAGTTTTCGTTGGAATTAATGTGTATGGAACTTCAATCTTTAAGAGTTTAGTGCTGCAATCCATACCTTTACTTGCATCATTCTGCATCCATGTTTTTTCCTTAATCCTTTATCTTTCTTCTAAGCCAATTTTAGATATTCTAAGTTGAAAGCATTTGGCTGGACCATAGTTTTGGGATAGATCCTATACTAATTATACTTCCCTCTGTTTTTTTTGTAAGTGCAACATGTCCTTGCGCCATGCATTTTGAGGAGAGTAGGTAAGGTAAACGGACAAATGAGCTAAAATAACTTAAACACCAATAACACCTGATGTCTCTCTTACCGGTGTTCAAATTATATGAAGTATTAGCTAATTTTTCTGTTTACCTCTTCTAATCACCTCCTTAAATTGCGTGCCAAGGGGATATGTTGCGCTAATTAAAAACGGGAGGATGTGTGATTTAGAGAAGACCTGGTGTAGGTATGTAGTATTTAGAAGTGTACATGCTGTGCTTTGGCTGCATTAAAACTTTTATTAGTGGTTTTTTTTTTTTTTTTCCTTTTTTCTTTTCTCTGTGAAATGCAGATTGTTTTGTAGTTTAGATCAATTGCAAAAGTTTTGCTTGGCAAGTTTGCAATTGTTATTTCATTACTATGCCTTAGTTTTTGGCATTTGAAGCTTTGAATGTCTCCTTTGCAATTGGTTATATTTTGACATTACAACTCTCAAGTACAAGCAAAGGTTGAACTGCTCCAGAGTAGCGGAAGTTCTTTCCTAACCTTTCCTTTTTTTTAATGGGCATAAAAGCTGAAACTTTTGTGTGACCTTTTACATCTAGATTTCTTACTATCTCTGGTTCAGACATAGGCTTTAGTTTTTCACCTTTTAAGCTGTTTTATGCACAGGCTATATTCTCTGATGACTCTGACAACGAAGAGGAAGTTTCTGCTTTAAATGAAATGGAAGATCCACAGAAGAAGACTGAAGCTGCTAGTGCTGCATTTAGTCGCATAGTAGCGGGTGACTTTTTGGAGTCTTTGGGCAAAGAGCTTGGCCTAGAGGTTCCGCCAGATCTACCATCTGCGACTACTAAAGCTGGGATTTCTGCGCCTCATAAAGATGTCACTGATATCCAGGCAAAGGATTTGCCATCACCTCCAGCCCTGGGTACAGTCTGTGAAGTTTGGGACAATATAACCTTGAATCGGGTGGTTGATGACAAGGAAAGAGCGCAAAAAGAATCACCTATAAGGGGAAAGGACGTCATTACTCCAATTTCGCAGAGTGTCAGCAATAAAAAACTGGAGAGGGCAGATCGAGGGAACAGAAAAAAGAAATATGAGTCCAGTAGTTCGTCTTCAGAAGGTGAAAGGAGTAGGAAACGCTCTAGGAAGCATCATCGTAGACACAGTAGTTCAGATGATGATGCTTCTGATGATTCCAGAAGTCGGCATAGTTCTAGGTCGAGAGATGACAAAAGGCGTTCTCCTCGGAAGAAGCATCGAAGGAGAAAGCATTCGAGGCATAGGTGACAGTGGGAAGGTTACTCGGTACATAGTGAATACAGGGGAAATCTGAAAATCAAGCCATAGATTATTGAGTCCAGCTATTCAGGCAAGAAGAGAGTTGTTTTGGGACTGATGGATCATGGTTTGTCATGGCTAACATTGTAGCATGAAGAAATGAATGTATTTCATGTACCTTTCAAGATTCAGTGATTCCTAGGGACAAATATAATTGTATATTCTTTGGTGATGTTGAAATTGATCATGCTTACATGTCCTCTCTAACGCCTCAACCTCATACTTTGAGACTTGAGGCTTTGGGGGACTTAAGAGGGTATTTTTGTGATGCTTGGGAGCTGATACAGGCTATACGGCGGTATCTTGGGGCTATTTGGGGATTTAATACACCATAGTGCTAAATTTTGGGTTTCTCCACATTTCTAATAAGATATAGTACTCGTAGAAAATTACATGTATGTGTTAGGGGTTTGCTGTTCTGAACCATAGCCCTTTTGAAGTGTTGCAGCAAGGATGAGTAAATTTAACGCTCATGTAGTCATGTGTAGCTTGTGTTTAGGGTAAAAATACCCTAAGACACGTGGCCCAATAAAGGCTTGCCACGTGTCAAGCTTGCAACGGTCAGCAAAGGCCCAATCCCTTTGCGACACGTGTCATTGTACTCTAATTGAGGTACAGTTCTCCCCTACTATAAATAGTAAGGGCAGACCTCATTAATGAGGATCAAATCATTTTCCCACAAACCAACATAACACAAATCCCCTTGCAAACGCTCTCAACTCGAGAAGCATTTATTGTCTTATTTCCTCATTAAGAAAGAGACTAACTTAATCTTCGGAGGCGGAACACCCCAGCCCCTGCCGGAGTATTCCGTTATTTGTGCAAGGTACTGGCGAAGGAAGGAGCATACTAGGAAATTGTAGCTCTCCCGTAGGACACATAAAAAACCCCCAAACATCTGGCGCCGTCTGTGGGGAGAGTACTTTCTAGATGACTTCAGAACCGGTACTGCCGGGTAAAAGTAGTCAACCTGCTGGTGATGCTGAGGTCCACTCGGACCAAGATACAGCCGACAATCATGAGATTGAGACTTACACAGCTGCTGATGGTTCTTTCAGAACCAAGCATACTCGTTCCAAAGACAAGAGGGAACAGGCAGAGCAGCAAGCAGTCCCAAACCATCCCACCAGGGGACCGCTTGGGTTAACTCCTTCAGAAGGGGCCACCCCAGTCTCTAGGGATGAACTCATGAACCTGATCATGAGCTTCAAAGGAGAGATCAAAGGCCTTCTGGATAATACAGCCGGCCCCCGTAAGGGTCAGGCGGAAGAAAGGCGTCTTGGAAAAAAGGCGGCCAGAATAGTAAAGGGTAGAGCATCTACCCCGCATCCGAAGTCAAATATGCCGGCTAGGCCTTTTGATTTCTCAAAGATACACACTCCCATAGATGGAGTTAGAAAACCCGTCCGGCACATTCAGCCGGATGGAACTAAGAAAGTCTATTTTGAAGCCCGAACGCTCATTCAGGATAAAAAGACTCAGCAGCGCTCCGAGTCAGCATCAACGTCGACCTTTCGAGACAGCTTCAATGCCACATTAGGGAGGCACTCGAGAACAAACAATGACAGCCGGACGAGCGAGGTTTCCGCTCGATCCGGCCCTCATATGATCCAACCGGCATTGCATGGAACACCATACACGCCTTTTGGATCTCCCTATGCACAGCCGGGTCTTTTCGGGGCGCAGCAGCAGCCGCCTCTCCAGCCTATGGACTGGCAGCTCCGGCTGCTCAACCTTGGGGAACAGCCAACGACGTTTTACAGGGAAATCACCGAGATGACCCAGCCGGCTAAGATCAAAAACGTGTTGGTAGGTGCCTATGACGGTACCACCAACCCGGAAGATCACCTCATGGCATACACCAACCTGATGTATTTGCAGGGTTTGGATGACGCCTCATGGTGCAGGTGCTTCCCGGCAACGTTGAAGGGGATTGCTCAACGTTGGTTTGGCAACCTCCCAGCCGGATGCATCAATAATTTCAGGACATTGGCCTACTGGTTCACGTCCAACTTTTCTATGAATATCCCTGCCAAGAAAACAAGCCTTGATCTAGGGGCAATCCAGCAGGGAGATAAGGAAGGGCTCCGGTCATATGTCAGGCGGTTTAACCTGATGAGGATCCAAATCCACGGATTGTTCGATGACGTTGCCTACACTGATTTCTTTAAAGGCTTAAAAGACGGATCAACTTTTAAGTTTGACTTGGTTAGGAAGAGGGTCTCTACTCTTCACGAGGCGCTCATGAAGGCGGAGGCTTACATTCAGGCAATGGAATTATGTGCTGTAAAACTTCCAACGGACTACAAAAGATCAGACAAAAAAGAGAATCGGCCTACCCAGTCGGCAAAAAAGGAAGACAAGAGAAAGGGGGTATGGGCATCAGACTCATCCGGACAACCTTTCCAGAAAAGAAAGAGGTCGGATCCGTATGTGCCAAAGTACGAATTCAACAAGGATTGTGCCTCCATTCTCAACGAAGTAAAGGACCGGCTGAATCTAGAAAAGCCGGGTCCGATGAAGAGTCCTGTAAGCGCCCGGGATAAGAGCAAATATTGCCTTTTCCATGAAGAAATTGGCCATGACACTGAGGGTTGATTTAGCCTCAAGCGGCTCTTAGACCGGCTGGCTGATGAGGGGGCTCTCAAGTCATACCTATCCAAGTCAAAGGGTGCTCCCAAACAAGTAAAAGGACCACCCCCAAAGACGCTGGCTACTCAATCAGATACGGATGAGGAAACCATCCTGACCATAGCCGGTGGATTTGCGGGAGGTGGGCCTACCATCCGGGGCACAAAGGATAACATTCGGAAACTGGTCAACTCAGTGGATGAGGGCCAGTCGTCTGAATATTCATTTCCGGAAGTTAACATCTCCGAGAAAGATAGAGGAGAGGTCAGGCGGCCTCATGATGACCCCATAGTCATCGAGTGCAAAATCGCCAATCAAAGAGTTGGCCGTATCTTGATTGATACCGGGAGCTCATCTGATCTCATAAGCTACCAGTGCTTCGAAAAACTCAAGTACAAGCCCAGTAGCATGCATCCGGCCTCATACCCTCTTGTAGGTTTTGGGGGAGGAGTAGTACATCCGGCGGGCATGATTGATCTACCCATCCGGTTCGGAGAAAAGGGAAAGGGCCGGCACATGGTTGTCAAGTTTCTTGTTGTAGGAGAGCTGACTGCCTACAACTTGATTATTGGCCGCCCAACCCTTAACATCTCAAAGGCTGTCATCATCCCATCTCTAATGTTGATCAAGTTTGAAAGAGATGATGGCACAGTCGGTTCCTTGAGTGGGGACCAAAAGATGGCGAGAGAGTGTTACCTCTCGGACATCAAACCAACGCTTGACACAGACGGTCAAGAGAAAGAAATAGTTGAACTTGACGACTGTGATCAAACCTTACCGGCTATTAAGCCAACCGGTAAAAAGAGGAAGGCGGACCAACTAGCGCCTGTTAAGGAGAAACAATAGCAATCACTGTCAGGGGAGAGGCCAGACGTCCTTCGCCCCCAGCCGGCTGGAGAAATAATTGACATTGTCCTTGAAGACAGCTGGCCAAACAGAACCGTCAAGATTGGAACGGTTGCTTTTGAAAGCTTGGGACCTGAGTTGCTCCTTTTGCTGAAGGAGTTCAAAGATGTGTTTGCCTTTGAAGTAGAAGAGATGTCGGGTGTAAGTCCGGATCTCGCTGTTCATAAACTCGCTGTGGATCCTAAAAAGAAGCCGGTCAGGCAAAAGAAAAGGAACCATGGCGAGGAAAGGTCCCAGGCGGCAGCAACCGAGGTCAAGAAACTCTTAGATGCTGGGTTCATCCGACAATGTTACTACCCGGATTGGGTAGCCAATGTCGTCCTTGTGAAAAAGCCGAATGGAACTTGGCGGATGTGTGTAGATTACACGGACCTGAACAGAGCTTGTCCAAAAGATAGCTACCCGCTTCCAAAGATAGATCATTTGGTAGACTCTACAGCCGGCCATGCCCTGATGAGTTTCATGGATGCCTACTCCGGCTTCCATCATATACCCTTGTGGAAGAAAGACCAAGAGAAGACGACTTTCGTCACAGATCAAGGGCTATACTGTTACACGGTGATGCCGTTTGGGTTGAAGAATGCGCCTGCCACTTTCCAACGAATGATGAACTCGGTCTTTTATGATCAGATTGGAAGGAATGTGGAGGCGTACATCGATGACATGATAGTCAAGTCAAAGCTACAGGCGGATCATCTAGCCGACCTCCGAGAAACCTTCACCACCCTCAGGCCGTATAAAGTCATGTTAAACCTGAAAAAATGCGTCTTTGGAGTTGAGTCTGGGAAGTTTCTCGGATTTTTGATTGATCAGAGAGGCATAGAGGCCAATCCGGACAAAGTACAGGCGGTGATTGACATGCAGTCGCCTCGTACCGTCAGGGAGGCTCAAAAGCTTACCGGCTGCCTGGCTGCATTGGGGAGATTCCTCAGCCGGTCAGGTGACAAGTGCCTGTATTTCTTTCAAGCAATCAAAAAGAGGTCGAGGTTCGAATGGGGTGAAGAGGCTGAGGCGGCATTTCAAAGGCTGAAGCAACACTTGCATTCTTTGCCAAGGTTAGTAAGTCCCCTACCCCAGGAGGCTCTCTACATATACTTGGTCGTCTCAGATCATTCTTTGAGTGTCGTTCTCCTTGCTGAGAGAGACGGCAACCAATTCCCGATCTACTTCATAAGCCACGTCCTCCGGAATGCTGAACTTCGCTATCCCATGATTGAAAAATTCGGTCTTGCATTGTTCAAGACAGTCAAGCGGTTGAAACCGTATTTCTTGGGTCATCCGGTGACCGTCTACACTGACCAGCCGCTCAAAAGGCCTATGACCACTTTAGAGTCATCCGGAAGAATGATTAAATGGGCTGTGGAAATTCAAAGTCTAGAAATCACTTTCGAACCTAGGCGGGCAGTGAAGGGTCAGGAGTTTGCCGACTTCATTGTTGAAATGACAAGGCCGATACAGCCGGATAAAACTGATCAAGTTTGGAAAGTTTATGTAGACGGGAGCTCTACGTTGAATGGTTGTGGGGCAGGCGTAATTTGTCATTCTCCAGAGGGGGACAAATACGAATATGCTCTACGATTCAAATTTCAAGCTTCGAATAATGAAGCTGAATACGAGGCCCTGTTAGCCGGCATCCGCATGTGTAAGGCAGCCGGGGCAAGGAAAGTTGACGCCTGTTTAGATTCTCAACTCATCGTTAGCCAAAACAACGGTGACTATGAGGCCACCTATCCGGTGATGATTAAGTATCTTCAGGCGGTCAAAGAGGAGGCTGGGGCATTTGACGAATTCAATCTAAGTCAAGTACCTAGGTCCGAGAATAACCAAGCGGATGCATTATCAAAACTTGCATCATCCGCCA